TGATGCTGAAGCCATAAAAGAATATAAATATGTGGTAGACCTCTCTTTTGCCATTCTGTTGAATACATATAGCATCTCACTTCTCCGAATATTTTACCTTTTGTCAATAAGTTCATGGTATTTTTGACTTTTAACCGAAACACTCTTGCAATTATATCATGTCGATCATATGATCTTTGACCGGGAAGTAAGAGCTCTTTTATCTCGTCCCAGCGAGGATTACATGTAAAAGTAATAAAAAGGTCAGGACGACCGTAATGTCTAACGTAGGTCATAGCATCTTGTATTCTTTCGTGCATGTACCTTGGCCCACCAGTAAAAGTTGACGGGAGTATAACCATTTGGCCTAACTGATTAGCTTCTATGTCTCGTCGTCCAATCGCATCTTTTAAATTAATATAACTATCTGCACGCAATTTGGCTTAGTTGTTTTTGATGTAATTTAGTCTTTCAGTTTCAATTTTGGCGTATTCATCTACCAAATATTGACTGAAAAGAGAACGATAATTAACTAAATAGTTGTCTTCCCCTTCTCTGACCATTATTCTATATGAGTAAAAACTTGACGCAGAGACAGTTTTTTTAAGCGGTAACTTGGTTTTTGGATCGCGTTGTGGTATATTGATTGCATACCCATCATCCCCCCAACAAAACATTAAAGGATACTGCAGTGCGTCGTATGCTCGATGTATCTCACTGATACGGTGAAGTGAGTTACTTCGGTTTTCGAGGATGATGTCTCTTCGATCAAACTGCTAATCTACTAACACTAAAGCAACTTCATTTGCCGTTGGTGCATTATACCTGCCTCTATGTTCTTCTGTTGGTTTTTTATCTGCATGTATTACAACTTTAAATGACTCTGAAGGAGGTATTTTATCGATGGCACTTTTCAGATCTTTTATATATGGGTTCACTTGATATAGCATATCCTGCAGTTGTTTGATTAAATTGGGTTTTAAGTTAGGATATTTAGAACACCGAATATTTACTTCTCGTTCGTCTTCACCGATAAAATAGATTTGAAGGTACTGTGCGCCCTGTCCGGGTTCAGGTAATATACTTCCAATTAAATGGTAGACCTGTCCTTTAACTTTAAAAGTCGGTAAGAAACCGTCTGCTGTTACCTGTTTACCACCAAATGACGTCATCTGAAAACAGGCGTTATATTTTCGAATATTGTTCATGAATTGCACATGATCTGGGTGCAGAGCATTAACCAAACTGTAGAGAGGTTCAGGTAGTTGTTTTAACCTCTCAAGTTGTACTTTTCCGGCGCTACAACACATACCAAGTGTCTCATCTTTCCACTTCAAAGCGTTGCACCACTGACACTTATAGGTCATAGAACCCAAAGCTACACAGGTGTCAGTTCTATATGCAATATCTGGATCATATACCATACCTGAATGCACTTTGCTTTTCCATAGACGCATAGTAGTATTTTCCTTATACCTAGATTCAGTTTGATTCTGTCTATATTTTTTTTGTGCATTTTTTATTTGTTTTTTTCTTGTGTAATTAGTAAATCTAGCCCTTCGTTTTCGACAGGACGAAATAGATTGATCTGTTTCACTTGATTGGGATAGTGAAATGTTTGCAGAAATGTTACTGTGTACTGAAGATGCAATAGGTGAATGTTCGCGTTCATCGACCAGTTTCTCTATACGACTCTGAGTATTGTTTTCTGTTGCAGTAAGAAGATAAGCATCAAAATGTCCATTGGGCAAATCTTGTCCAAATCGTAAAAGCTTTACTGGACAATCATTAGATCCGGACTCCGTGTATAAGATACCATTTCGATAAACTTTAAAATTAAATGGAAATATACATCCCACTGCTATAAACTTACAAAGCCCACCATAAGTTTCATTTTTTATCATATCAGCATAATATTCATTGGCCGTTGAGTAATTATCATCATTTATATTGTGGGACATAAATGAAAACTTGGTCCAGTCATTCACCACATGTCCAACAATTAGTGATCGCACCTCCATCGCATTGTCTTGTGTTCCGTGTATTAAAAAAGAAAGAGCTCGGAATAAACAGGCACCATCGCCAACAATGGGGACAACAGTATGTTGTTCAATTTCTCCATTAACTAAAAGACTTTCTTTAGCCATTTCTTAGGTAATTAAATTAAACAACGTTAAATTAATCCTCCTAACAACAAAAACCGAACACGGAAAAATATAAAAAACTAATCCGGCAGTAAGCTGTTTTATATTACACTTGTATACCGAAACCGTTTACTGGTCCTTTATCGAACGCTGGGCTATCGCTACGACAACGACAAGGACAAAGCGGCCAAGTACATATAATTTACAGCACGTGGGCATACATTTTATATAAGCAAACGTTTTCGTCACGCGCAGCTATAAATATAATACGTAGGATAATCACAATAAACGACAACGGTGCTACCGCGGCTCTATCCGCCGACAACGCGTTAACGCCGACTTAGGACCTTTAGGTTAGGTTAGTTAGGTTTAATAATACAAATTACATGTAAAAATTTTCTTTTACCGATTTCAACCCTTTAAATTCAAAATTTCGAAAAATCCTTTCTTAGCGCACGTCTACATCATAATAGCTATTTGTATGCCAATTTTCAGCCAGATCCGTCCAATGGTTTGAGCTGTGCGTTGATAGCAGTCAATCAGCTTACTGTTTTATATATATTTGCACATAACTTTCTTCTTGTTACTATTATTTAATTGTTTCATAATTTGGTCATGGTCACTTTTAAGTTTTACATAGTAATTATTATGAATATAAAGTAACTAACAAAAATGTATAAACATTAAACATTAAAATACTATGTTGCATCTAATAGCTTCCATTCTTATATAAAAATGTATTTCATGATATTTATAAAATAGTAAAATTACAGTGACAGCAGCTGCAATCCCATCAACCATTTTTTTTTTTTTACTTTATTTTTTAAGTTAAATTGCGTTTTTAAGTGTGAATAAATTCACGCACAGATATACATTGGTTAGGATGCACCCAGCATTCCAACATGACCCTGGATCCAAAATTGGCTACAACGTGTAACTGCATCCGTGAGTCAAATATTGGTTTCAATGTTCAGCCAACACTTGCACGTCAATGTTAGAATCAGAGCTTATTCTAAAGAGCATTTGGGCTTATTTTGCGTTTTTGAAAAACCAATGCGCACTTGATAATAAACTTTTGCGTTGTTGATTTTTAATTGAATGTTGTTTAGTGATATTTTATACATTACATTATGATTTATGAACAAAGTAAAAAGAACATTTATTATAAGAAAAATACTTTGAACACGAATGTAAATTGTTTTATATCTTTTAAATAGGTTACATTTCAAATTACTTCACCTAAAAGATACAAATTTTATCAATTTTAACTACAATTTAACAGTATATTTCGAGATCATAGTTCTATTTTGTTTAGCTTATTTCAACAAAATACGTAGTTGATAAAAATCCTTAGAATAATCCCTAGTTTGAACCAACATAACGCGTACATCGTGTAGCACCGCCTTTAAGGTAATAGGTTATTTATTTGTACATATAACTTATAAGAATTAACACATTAGGTTTTACATTTAAATCATAGTACCCAATTTTGTATATGGAGAAATATATGTTTTAGTGAATACGTACGAAAACACAAGGTACACAGTGTACAGGCCTGTATTTAAAAATTTGACATCCCCGGGCATATAATATATGCCCTCCTCCCCCAAAATAAATAATATAATATAACATTTATTATTTCGTCCATGATCGAGATTCTTTAATATTAAAATATAACATATAAATGAAAATCGTTTAATACCTTTTTTAATTAACAAATTATAATACAATAAAAATATAATTTTTTTTTTTAATTTACAAATATAACATAATAAAACATACTATCTTTTTTATTGTTTTATTTTTTTTTTTCATTAGGTGTTTACATAATTTTCAAAATTAATTTTGCTAAAATATTTTGCCACCCCTGAGACTTGACGCCCCCGGGCATGTACCTACCCGTGCCCCCCCCCTAAATACGGGCCTTTATGTGTAGTATATTAAGATACCGTTTATTTTTTATTCATAAATTAAAATATTTACATATAATTATTTAACTTAAAAACAACGAGTGTATTACCTTTAATATAATTATGACTGGTGTGTTACATTTTCGCTGAAATTTATTTCGGATTTCGTCCATAACATATACGTTATACTTTTTATCCAGGTATCCAGAAACGACGAAAAATAACCAAAAACTGTCAAAAGGGAGCATTCAAATATTTCGTTAGCTGATCAAGGGTGGAAGGGGACTATATTTCAAATCTGATGTCAACATCATATTTATCAAAACTCGAATTGACGCTCACAAAAAGCAAAATATCATCGATGGCATCACATTATTCTTACTATTATATTTATTTTGATAATTTAAGAAATTAATTTTATTAATAAGAATTAAATAACAACGATTTATAATCATATAAATTAAAAATAATTTAAAGGGGCTTATGAAAAACGTTGACGTAAGGTAGGAGCGGTGTAGTCACTATCTGACGTACGCTGGTAAAGGGAGAGGTCTAAAATTGCTAAACAATTTGCTGACGTAGAATTGAATGCTCCCAAACCACAGTAAAAAATGAATGCACATTTTGTTCAATTAGGGTTTATTCAAAGTTTTTACTCTCGTCCTTACCTGATAATACTTAACATGTGTAAGTTAAAGTGTGTCATGTCTGCTTTCTATTGGTCCGCATTCCGTACAATGGTTTTTTTACACGTGACGTGTAAGATGAGTAAAAAATCGTAGTATAATTTCCAATAAAATCAGGGATAAACAATGATAATGTCGATCCGTGATTTGTGCTTTTTAAATAAAATAATATCCGTCTTAATGGCGGTTAGAAAACGTTGCTATGTTCATATCAGTGTTATTTCTCGTTTATCAATTAAACATCGTTTCTAACATCTAGTTCACGTCCGAACTCTTGAAGTTTGATAAAAATTAAGGTGTGTACAGGCATAATATACCAATTTTAATAGTTCTAGTACTTTTCGGTTTTCTGGTGTCCTAGATATTCAAAATCCTGCAGACATTTACGTTTTATTTGTTTTTTTTTCTCGAGTAAGTTTGCATTAAAATAAACGAGGTGACTCCCTCTGAAAAAAGTCGATTTTTTCATTAGGCATGTTTACTTATTTTTGTTGAAACGGACAATTCAGTGTGAATCTTGGGCGTGAACGAGTACTTTTTATAATACGACACATTTACGTTTTCAGATCGATAGCTGCTAACAATGGTGGACACGGGTTGTTTCTTCAATATTGATGGAGGTTATTTGGAAGGGTTGTGCCGTGGTTTCAAGTGTGGAATACTTAGACATGCTGATTATTTGAACCTTGAGCAATGTGAAACCTTGGATGATCTTAAACTACATCTGCAATCCACTGACTACGGCCAGTTTTTGGCTAATGAGCCCAGCCCATTGGCAGTATCCGTTATTGATGACAAGTTACGCGAGAAGCTTGTCATTGAATTTCAACATATGCGCAATCATGCGGTGGAACCACTAAGTACATTCCTTGACTATATCACTTACAGTTATATGATTGACAATATTATATTGTTAATCACTGGAACCCTTCATCAGCGTCCAATATCTGAATTGATACCAAAATGCCATCCATTGGGCAGTTTTGAGCAAATGGAAGCTATACATGTAGCTGCTACTCCAGCTGAGTTGTACAATGCGGTGTTGGTTGACACACCATTGGCTCCATTTTTTGTAGATTGTATTAGTGAACAGGACCTTGATGAAATGAACATTGAAATTATTCGTAACACTTTGTACAAAGCATACTTGGAATCATTTTATGAATTTTGTAAAAAGCTTGGAGGAATCACGGCTGACACTATGTGCGAAATATTATCATTTGAAGCAGATAGACGTGCAATCAACATCACTATCAACTCTTTTGGCACAGAATTGACTAAAGACGATAGAGCTAAATTGTATCCAAGATGTGGTAAACTTTATCCAGATGGATTAGCAGCTCTTGCTAGGGCTGATGATTATGATCAGGTAACGTTAACACAGTATCATAAAAATGATAAATTATTGATTATATTCAATATTTCTAGGTGAAAGCTGTAGCTGAATACTTTGCAGAATACAGTGCTTTGTTTGACGGTGCGGGTACTAATCCAGGGGAAAAAACTCTTGAAGATCGATTTTTTGAACATGAAGTTAAGTTAAATGTTAACGCTTTCATGCGCCAATTTCATTATGGTGTGTTCTACTCGTATTTGAAACTTAAAGAGCAAGAATGTCGAAACGTTGTTTGGATTTCTGAATGTGTTTCGCAGAAGCACCGTGCTCGTATGGATAATTACATTCCAATCTTCAAGTAATTATTTTATCTATTTGAACATCCATAATATACATGATATTTTAAATTTAACATAAATGTCCCATTATTATACAATTTTATGGTATAACTTAGATTGTTCATTAGATCATATAGAGTATATTAATTCATTTGTGTTATTTATCATTCCAACGGTATGAATGTCTGGAGAATTGTTGATAGCTCGTCAATGTATTATTATGTTTTTTGTTTTTATTATATTGTCATAAAAAAATAATATATATAAATTATTATTGAATTGTTGGTTAAGATACCATCTTTAGAATTTACAGTTACTTTTGTTTTAAATATCATCCATATATTATTTTGGACACTCATGATTTTAAATTATAAAAAATAAATTTAATTATTAAATGACCTATGGTTTAGTTATTTTTTTGTGTATTTGTCTTGTTTATTGGTTATTAAATAGTTAAATACAATCAAACATTTTTTATCGAAAACAAAATACAATGAAGAATGTAAAATCATTTATTATATAACATTATTTCAATAGTTTACAGCTAAGACAACATTTAATTCATACAATATAAATATTTACTACACATTAATTTCGTGACATCAAATTGTTAAAATTTAAACATAAGAAAAATAAATATAATTGATAATTTTGCTATGATTACAAAAATGTTAAGATTTTAACACATATTAGTTAATTTATGCCATGTAAAAGTAAATCATATACTCAGTATAAAATCATACTAACTACACAAAATGTTAAAATTAAAATTAAATTTTATAAAATATAAATCGCGTAAAATACTAAAAATTGAGCAGTGCATTTAAAATAAGTTATCAAAAATATAATATGTTAACTGAACATAATGATCAGAAAATTAATAACTTTTAGTATATTTTTGTATAATTTAAGTGCCAAATAAATAAATTAATTTTTTTAACGATATCCTGAAAAAAATAAAAAATAATAGAAATATGAGTGGTAATAATATTCAACATAAGTAATTTAATTATTGGTCACATTACTGAATCAAATACTCATATAGTTAAATAATAAAAAAAAATACATATCGGTGCACTAAATAAATATTAAATAAAATAAAAACAAATTAACCCAATTTTTAAATTAAATCAACATTTATGCAAAAATTAAATAGTGGAGTAAATGTTAATAAAATTATTACAATTTAAGTTTTTTAAAAAAAAATAAAACAATACAATATTCGTGTAAAAATTGAAAACATTCAATTTAATATGATAAAGATAAATTTCCCAATATTTGAAATCAATATTATTAGCTAAGCTATTGCCTACAGTCAAATATTGTCCAGCAGCTATAAAAGTTTACCACTCAATAATATTGTTTATTTAAATAAAAACCACTTTAGTTTGGTCAGTCATTCATTAATATTTAGGAATTGTAAACACCAATCCATGTCTTCGCTGTCATCAACTAGTAACTTCAACCTAATTTAAAATATAAACATTTATAAACGCAGAATAAAATATTTTTATATACACTTTGTTATTAAAAATCACATGGTTTGTCATAAACTAGGAAACTCACTGGGATTTATAACTATCACACTGTTGTTGATCTATAGTATTCTTCAATTGTTTGAGGGCAGTCATACACTGAGCTGATAATGATTTAAAACACTGTCTACGCGCAGCATTATGAGCAGGATTATCCCATACTGGAGTATTGCGAACATGTTTCCATGCCATGAATACATAGTCCATGACAATGGGCCACTGATTGCTCTCTACCAAACGTCTACCTTGATCAACAACACATTTCTAAAAAAAAAAAAAAATTAAGAATTCATAAAATCTTATCAAAACTAAACAAAAATAAATTTTGATAAATTTACTTTGAATGCTAAGACATGAGTTGAAACTCTATTGTAGGCAGTTGAATCGGTTTTTGAAATCAAACGGCTACTAGGTAAAGCCTTGTAAATATTACGGCGCAAATAATAAATACGCTCTTCGAGGGGTTTCAAATCAGCCAAAGGGAAATTAGATCTTATTTCCTAAAAAATATAACATACATAAATAAAACTACTTTTTAATCATGTCAATAATATTATATACCTTTTCAATGCCTGGATGATCAATAACAATTTGTCCAATTATATTAATAAGTTGATCAGAAGATAGTGCTTTCATTGCTGATAGTAAACAATAATCTTCAGGAAGCTCAACTGCCACATCAGTGCGTATTTTCTTATAATTTTGTGAACCCTAAAAAAATATTTTGTTTTCCATTCAAATTCCTAATAAATTGTAAATAAATTATTTACTTACAGTTTTATATTTATCTGGAGATGATAATTCTAAAGGATCATTCAATAATAACCGCTTGCGAGGAGTGCTTCTAAGAACGATAGAACTTTTGTTGAAACTAGAACCACCTGATTTAGTTGGTGTTTCTTGATTATTCTAAAAAAATAGGCATATGTTAAAAGTAAATTTAATTTTAGATACTTAAGTATACATGGTTTTATAAACAATATCAATGTGATTTCATATAATTCAATTTATGACTGAAATAACATATTTTTACATATTTTTTTATGATTAACAAATAATGAAAATAATTAGTCTATAAATAATGCCTTTAAAGAAATCTGAGGATAAATTCAGAAGATTGTAGAAAATAACTAACATCTGTAGTAATAATATTACAATACAATATCATTAATCTCTAATGATAGTTTTTATGAATTCTAATATTTGAATAACGATGTATCATTTTACAGATAAGATATTTTGTTTACTCATTTATAAGCATTTTAAGAAATTATGCTCATTAACTTCAAAATGTAATTCCAAGATTATAATAAAATATTAATCCTAAAAGAGGAAAAATATTAACTTACAAAAAGAATCTTAATAATTAATACCAAATATATATATATATATATACATTTTGTATCTTATTGACAAAATAACCCTGAAATAATACCCTGATAATAATATTAGATATTTTAAATAATGATGAAGGTTTTAACTAATAACCTATTTTAGAGATAAGTAGGTAAAATAAAAGATAAAATACAAGACTAATATTTGAGTTCTGAAATTAACAAGCATTATATACTTAAAATTTAACAAATACAATATTTTTTCTCTAGGAATTAGATAAAAGTTGTATACCTGTTTTATAGCATCAATGTCAGGACTAAATGTAACTGGTATTTTACGTCGTCCACGTTGTTGTATGATTAATTCATCAGGACTTGGTGATGGAGTCATCATGGATGTTGGAAAGTTACTTATGGTTGTATTCATTATATTAACATGATGGTCATTTCGGCCCAATCCTAATAATGTGAAATAATATAACATTTAATTTGAATTTAGCCCATACAGATGTCTAAATGATTTTTCTTTAGCATCACCATTAGGTTCCGTCATAGATAACCGCCCAAGTCTAGTAGGTATTTCAGCTAAAACACTTCTTGTCATCATACGAGTCGGCTCTGGATTAAAAGGAGGTGTTTCCATTTTGATTTCTCCAATCTGATTAGTTTAAAATAATAGTCTACAAAAATACAAAATTTTAAATGAAAAAAATCTGATTTAACCTAATAGTTATAAGGAAGGCTCGAGATTTATAGCACTTAAAATCATTAAAATAAGCACTTAAAAACATCATTATAAGGAATAAAATAAGCATTTAAAAAATTTAAAATTATGCAAAAATATTCAAAAAAAATTAAAAAAAAAAAAAAAAAAAAACTATAAAATTCTAATTAAAAAATCGAACAAAATAAAAATAAATCTTCACTTTCAAGACTTTAAGGATTTTTATGGATTTTCTAAGGGATTTTTCTGAAAAATAAAATGTAAATTGTTCTTTCTGTTTTTGTTCATTCTGACGTTTGACACTCAGTTCTATTTTCTGCGTTGGAATAACTTTGTTAACCCTATAGCGATGCCTCGGACGGCGATGAATTACATGAAAACATAGATAAAATAAGAATTTATTTTTTATTTTTAATTCTATCAAAAACGACTATGCAGGAGAAAACTATAAAAATGTAAAAAAAATTGAAAATAAGCATTTTTTGGAAAAATTGCTGAAAAAAGCAAAAAAGGCACTATCAAATTTCATAATTGTACATGTTATAACTTGCTATACACTTCTATAGCACTCTGCTACATTTTAAGTCAATCCATAAAAATAAGCAAATGCTTTAAATCCCAAGCCCTGGTTATAAGTATAATTTAAAATATGTTTAAAAATAAAAATTATGACTAAGAATTTATTAAATAAATAGTTAAGGCAACATAAGTCAAGTAATACAATTTATAATTATTTGTAGAAACTTGAGATATTATTTTTAATAACTTATACTTATTGTATATATATATATAATTATATATTAAATTTTAAAAAAAATTTTATTTGTTAATTTTTCAATTATTATTTAAATTTGCATATTTTGATAAGCATGATTTTTAAAGTAATACCACCAATAAACTTTTTAAAAATAGTCTATAAATTATTATTTTGTTTTGTTTTTACTCAATACATGTAGAATTATCACTTATTGTCATTATTTCAAAACAGACATAATTTTTAAGTATATAGGTAGGTAGAATAAAAAATATATTCCTTACTAATTGAATTTATAAGTGAAAATATACATGTATCACAATTGATTTAGGATGTACAATATAAAATAGAAGTTTATAATATGTTATATTATATTACCTACAGGGTTTTTGATGGTTTGGAAAAAAAATATTCATTTTTAAAACATAAAAACTTTAAATTATTATAATAGTTACTTCAATATTTGTTATTTTTCTTTAAGTAAAAATCCAAACCAAGTACATTTTAAAATTGTTTTTCCAATTAATATTTGCAATCTGTTTGTGTATGTCTTATAAACACATAATAGTTATCTTTTGCTTCACTTTTTATAACACACATATTTTTTAAACATCAAAGTTTTTAAATATCAAAATTAATAATACTTTCACTGGATATTTGGATATTTGTAATGATTTAAGATTATAAACGATTGAGTACGTGATTGGTATGAATAAATTGTGATGTTAACCAATATTTAAATCCAAAATAATTTTAAGTCAATATAGTAGTATTTAGAAAAAAGTAGTATTGAGATAAATTTATTATTTATACATGATACGTAAACATTACTAATTATATATAGAGAGAAAAAAAAGATGTTAATGAAGGTAAGTTAACCTTTTAGCATAATCATGCATTATATAGGTATTAAATACCTAATTAATAAGATTTAGAAAGAAATATTTATTTAAAAATAGTTATAGTTGTAATAATAAAAACAATGTTTAGTAGGTAATTAAGCAGATTAATTATACAGCCCTAACCGTTAATTTGCTTCAAATAGTTTAGTATTGTCATGCTTTTGTTCTAATTCCACCATTGAATATAATGCTTATAAATACAAGAGTAATAATAATAATAATAATAATAATAATACTGGAGTCATAAACTGTATGGATAACCCAAGATTAACAGAAATTAAAGATAATACGCAAATACCATATGGTAGAATTTATTCAAAACTACATGTTGAATATTTAAAATGGCATGATCATCCGGGCAAAGGCAGATTTTTGAACAGGTAATAATAAAATGAGTTTCCTCTGCAACGACGAAAATATACCAAGTCGGTGCTCGTTTTGTAAATCCGCAACGGGGGACGATTGTTCGTAACAAAAGTTTTGAAACGATGCCCGTGCGAAACGAAATCGCAACGGAATGACACGACACAAATATCGATGGAGCGTAAGATAATGGGTGCGCGTGTGACGATGACGAGTCGTGGAAATCGCGTTACGTGCACGCGCGTACCGCAATCAGCAGTTTTCTTTTTTGCCGACAAAAATAACGTGTTTTATTTTTTACCGTGTCGCAAGCTTTTGCGCTCGGAAATCTAAGATTTCAGAGATCTACGGCCCGGACAAAGGGAAGAGAAAAAAAAAAACCGAAATACCCGTGTAGGTAAGTACGGCAAAAAATTGTCGTGTTCCAAGAACATGACCGGGGAAGGGGTGGAGGAACGAGTTCGTGAACCGGCCCCGGAGACGCCTTCGAAGGGCCAAAAACGTCCGAGAAGTACAATCGCAACACACTAACCTTTTACCTTTCGACGGCACGCGAAGCGCTTCGGCGTGCGAGTAACGGCACAAACGTACACCTCGTTTCGTGGCTGCGACGATAACACAAACAGGCCGGAAAACTTCGTGCGCGATACTCGCGTGACCGTTAATTATGGTCCGGTGTGAAACCTCTGACGCGCGGAGTGGGCACGGGCAAAGAGGGCGGTCCGACGGGCACGAAGACAAGACCACGGTCGAAACGTTGACGGCAGACTGACCGTTGACGACGACGTGGAGACGCAAAAGGCACCGCGACCGGTTCCGGTGAACCTTTGTCTGACGTGCAGGGATTTGGGCGGGAAAATTTTAGATAGTTCCCATCTGACGGCCAGCACACGACACCACCGCGTGCTATTGGTCCGACGACGCCCAGTGGTTCCCAAACGGACGGGCCCGCCGAAATTCAAACACGTGTCACCGCCGTCGCAACCGTTGTACCGCTGAAGTTGGATGGGAGGAGAGGAACCTGATGCGAGTACTGTTCGTCACGACGGAATTCGAGTGGTTTTTTTTTCGTTAAACCCAGAGCTTGACTTGCGGGGGATGCAGTGGGACGGAGTGCCTCAACTAATTTTCAGATATTTTAGCGTCCCCCTACCATTATTACGTTATAATTATAATGCCAAGTATTGGGGACGCTATTTTCTTTAAAGTATACAGAGTCCCCCTTATTTAATTTTGCCAAGTCAAGCACCCATCTCTATTGCATTGCTATCGATCCATTATTATCACGCGCTGGGTCTGATTTAATATAATCAGTGCCAAGTGTACAATTTTATTAGGGCCCCCCAAGTCAAAAAAATGTTCTAGAAAAAATAATAATAATTTTGACAACAAAAAATATAAATATAAGTGTTAAATACCTATTACAAAACTCATAAAATATTTGCACATTATTTCACGTACTGTAAATACAATTTAGTTACTTGGTCTATTAAATTAAGGATAATGAAAATATAATGCTAATTAAATAACACAACAAAATTATAATATATTTAAATATTAAAAATACTTCTTAGGATTTTATTTTGTGAATTTAAATGAATATAATTAATTTTCAATCTTCCATAAAATTATAAAAATTTAAATAATTTATTAATTAACAATTTATTTTATATGATTAAAATTGAATATAATGTGATCAATTTCTATAATTTTTATTTTTATAACATTTTATCATAAAAAAGTTTAAGAATTACAAAAATTTCTTTCTTGGTTTTTTTCTCTGCATAAGTTTCAATAACTGAATCAAAATCTAATAATGATGTAATATTACTTTCAATAGTTAATAGAAACAAACCATCCAGACGTTCTTGTATCAAACAAGACTTGAGACGTGTTTTAGTTAATTATTATTTATGTTGTAAATAATAATTATTCGTATTAATGAATTTATTTTTACTAAAAAGTTCGAATTATCAACGAAATTATAAATAACAATTTTATTAAATTCTGCGACCGGTATTATATTTTCATGGCCCAGTAGTGGGTCACGACCCATTATTTAGGAAACGCTGTACTAGTTCATAGTCCAAATCGTTTGTTTACGTTTGTCTGAGTTAACAATCTCTGGGCGTGTTGTATTTTTATATAAGAAATCAAATTTTTGTTCCAACAGTATATAAGCATAATTACGTTAGACTAATTCAGAAATTAATTTATCACGAAGAACATATAATGTGTTTACAATATGATCTTAATTTTTAAACAAATTTACTTCTGGGTTATTTGCATAGGCGTATCTAGGGGGGGGCTTGAGGGGCTAAGCTCCCCCAGAATTATTTGTATTATTTTTGCTCATTTCGTCGAGTAGTCTTAATGTCATTTAGTTTAGGGTTTTTTTTTTTTTTTTATTATTATTGTTGTTTTTGCAGCCCCCCCCCCCCAATATATTTGATCACCCTACGCCTATGGTTATTTGCAATATTATTTAACACTAACTGAATAACCCGGTTTCGCCCGAGTGGTGTTTTTTGTGTTACTTACGTGTAACTTTTTATTTTATCAGTTTTATATTAGAGATTGCTTTTAGTTTTTCCGTATTCATTTCTGTGTATGTAAATTCAGTACCTAAATAATATTGTCAAAATCGAATGAAATATAAACCAGTGGTTCTAAAAATGATAATTGTGTGAGCGAAGTGTTCATAATAGCATCACCAACGACGGGTTAATATGTAAATACTGGACTGGAAGAAATCTATAAATAGTTATTAGGTACCAAATATTTCCGATGTTCAAACAATTTTATATTATAATTATTTTAATATTTTATAATGGTAATTGATTAGCACTGTGGAATCATAAAAATAACCAAAATTCAACTGATAATTTAATAATAAAAGTATACTGAACTCTAAACATTGACAGTAGGTATTTTACAATACAAATTTTCTTGGAATTAATTTAAAAAAACAATTTTCTACAACTTACGGAGACCGGAGGCCCCCAGAAATTGGGGGCCAAGTGAAAGTGCTAAATTAATTTACGTAAATTAGGGCTTGGTCATGCGCGGTAAACACGCCACAACAGTAACTTACGTGTAGGTACCCCAAACGCGTAGAGAACAACAGTGTATTTGCGATGTTTCTTGTTATTTATATCAATGCTTTAATAGAGAAAATACGTAAATTACAAACGAGGAACTTTAGATTGTTCTACGACTATACCAGTGGTGGATCTATAACTGTAGTCATTGTAGACATCATAACTGTATTCATCGCGTAGCCATGCTTTCCAAGAGGATACTAACAAATTTGAAATTAATTAATGACAAAGTTGTACACATCGTAAACGTAATGAAAGCAAAACCAATGAATTCAAGAATTACAAGTGAAGCACAATTAATAAAATGCACTATTTTGTTGTTGTGTTCAAAAGGAATATTTTTATCGTTAAAAGCATGTACTTTTTGTCAATCCTAACGATCAACCAAGTAATGCAATAAGATTTTTAATAAATTAATTAAATTCATTATTTTGTCTACATGAGATCCATCAGACCACAATTTAAGTTTTTTAATTTTAATTTAGAATAATTAACATTTCAAATTTTATAAATTTTAAAATATTCAAACCAAATTTATAGGTTTTAGGGATCAAAATTTGAAAAATTGGACAGATCTATCTCAAGTACATATATTAAAGAATTTAAAACAGTTTTCAAAAATCTTAACATATTATTCTATTGATCGGTATGATTGATAAAAGATAGATATGTTTTGGTTGAAATAATCAACCATTTGCAAAGGCCTTAATACTTTTGGATGCCTACTCCTACCAAAAATGTTATACAAAATATAAAATCTAGCTTAGATGACTCTAGTAATATAAAATTTTCCAATTCATGGTCATTTTTCTAAGCATCTAGAAAATTAAAACAGTACCAACAAGTTATGTAAAATATTGTTTACAAATAATTTATGTATTTTTGATTTTAAATTTGAAAATATTTTATAAGACTAACATTAAACCGTTATACACATTAAACCTTGTGGTAAAAATTTAAAATTTTATAAAAAGGATATACAATTTAAGCATGCCATAACTAATAGTTAATACATTTACCAATGATTATATTCATTAAATATATAAACAACCATTTAATAATAATTCAATTTAACTTGGTCCAATCAAAAATACTAATGAAATAACAGTGAAAAAGCCGAAAAATCAATTAAAATTTGCTAATTCATTAATGATCCTAAGTGATTTTGTTAAGGGTAGTTTTCATTACATGTTTTACATCATCATAATTTGTTATTATATTTACATAATTTTGCTGTAATGTTTATACAATAAAAGCAAATTAAAAAAAAAAAAATTACATCATTGCTTTCAAATTAATGTAAATAAATACAAAATTTTACTTAAAATTAATAATAATTTCTAAATGACTATAAGTACAAAATAGATACTATTGTATTATAATATTAAAAAGCTTATCTTACAAGTTTGATAAAAACATTGTTTATTTATAATTTTAATATAAAAAGATATTATTATATCATGATATACCATACACAAATAGTTCACATAAGCATTTTGAATATCATATATTAAATGTAAATAACTTGAATAATAATAATAATGTAATTATCGCAAGAAAAAATTGATTTCTAACTATAGATTATTAATAGATTCATAAGATTGAAAATAAAACAAATTGTAATGTAATTGTTTAAAATATATTATAATAATAATAATGGTAATTTTATGATATTAAATCTTAAAACTAAAATATATACATTCTTATATAATA